GTCTCTGCGAACCTTGATAATGTGGCCTCTATATGACAATGAGCCGGAGGAGGATAAACCACAATACCATCATATGATAATGAACGACAAAGTTACTTGATGAAGAGTTCATATCATGTGAACTCTTTAAGTCTTTGTTGATTAAACTAACAGTACTATTGCACCTTTTAACTTCTATTTTTTACTCTAATATACTTTCGTTCTTCCCAAACTCACTTTACTCTTGGTTTGCAGAGCAGGTAATGATGCTCCTTTGGGAGCTGAACTTGTCTTTGCGGGTCTTGGTAATGTGGCCTCCACAAAGGCAATTAGCTGGCGGAGGATAAACCACAACAACATCAAATTTGATTTATTAAAATTGATGAAATAACAGATGTATGAGTTCATAGATACAATTATATATGCGCATAAAGATATAAAATGCAATGTGTTTACGTTGTATATAAACTAAAATATAAATCAAATAAATTTAGTTCCATTAAAAGTTAAATCTAACGTTGAGCAAACGTAAAATACAACGTTTTTCCAACGTAAAATACAATGTTGAATCAGCGTAAAATGTCACACAATGCCGAATTAAATTACAACGTTGCACAGTGGTGCAAAACCTCAAAAAATTGGCCAAAATTCAAAATTTTTCAAAACATTATAAAATTAATTTTTTATTTTTTTAAAATGAGTTATAATGCTTATATTATCTAAAAATATATTGGTCTGTTATTTATGTTTATTAACAGGACCGCAACGCAGATTTAAAAGACATCATTTTTGTAATAAATTTTCATTAAAAAAAAGCAGAAGTTAAAATTTCAATTTTTTTTTTAATTATTCATAAAATAAAACTTTTTTTTTGTCAGCTTGTTTAAGATATCTTAAAGAAGCTGACAGAAAAAAAGTTTTATTTTATGAATAATTTATAAACGCAAGCAAAATATTATATATATTTATACCTATGCTAATAAGTATTGGCATACTTATGTATATTTCAACCATCTTAATGAATTAACACTGTTAATAAGGTATATTTATGCATGTAAACTTGCATCTGATTAAACAGACATTATTCATGTTTGTTTTGTTTGTGGCTTGATCTTTCGCTATAAAAGAAAGAAAAAAATATATTAGCAAAATATATTTCTATTATCAACTGAAATATTTGAATGAAAAATAATTCTTAAAAATTATACAAACATACATTTTTAAATCTGCTTTTATACCTGCCACAACGTTGATCGACTGTTTAAAACCCAACGTTGTTCCAATGTATATGAATCAACGTTGATTCAATGCACATTGGATTAACATTGCATAATAATCAATGGATCAACGTTAACCCATATAAATTGTATCAATGTGGGGTTATATACATTTAGTCAACGTTGATCCATATACATTAGATCAACGTCTGATTTAGATTAATGTTTTCATTAACATAAATACGATTAAACTAACATTGGATCAACGTTGTATTTGCATCGGAGAAAATAGCCGACGTTCCCGAAGTATTTACACACGTTGGCCCAACGTAAATGTGCTAACTGGGTAATCACTTAATCTCTGGGTAACCAACTGGGTAAACACTTAATCTCTCATCTTGAGTCAAATAACTTACTTTCTGATCATCAATATGGATTTCGATCTTCTCGTTCTACAGCTGATTTGCTAACAGTAATAACCGATAGGTTTTACCGTGCATTAGATAGAGGTGGAGAGGTTACGGCTATCGCACTTGACATTTCTAAAGCTTTTGATAAAGTTTAGCATGCTGGTCTTCTCCATAAGCTTTCTTCTTATAGTGTATCTGGTAACATCTTTAAGATTATTGAGTCCTTTCTTTCCAATCGTAGTATAAAAGTTGTCCTCAATGGACAACACTCTTCTTCATATCCTGTAACTTCAGGGGTTCCTCAAGGTTCAATCCTTGGCCCTATACTCTTTTTAATTTACATTAACGATCTCCCAGATATTCTCACATCTAAGGTGGCATTATTCGCTGACGACACTACCATTTACTCTTGTCATGATAAGAAGCCTACACTCTCTGATTGCCTGGAGGGGGTATCTGAGCTTGAAAAGGATCTCACTTCTGCTACAGCATGGGGCTCACAGTGGCTGGTGAACTTTAATTCAGATAAAACTCAATTTTATTCGGCCAATCGTTATCGTAATAATTTAGATCTTCTTATATTTATGAATGGTAATGTACTAGATGAGTCATCTACCATTCATCTTCTAGGATTAACTCTTACTTCTGATCTTTCTTTTAAACCGTATATCAAATCCATTGCAAAATTAGCATCTGCTAAGGTTGCATCTCTTTATCGAGCTCGACACTTTCTTACTCCAGATTCTATTCTCTATCTCTATAAATCTCTAATCCGGCCTTGTATGGAATACTGTTGCCACATCTGGGGCGGATCTTCTAATGATGCCCTTTCGCTTTTAGACAAGGTGCAAAAACGCATTGTAAACATAGTTGGACCTGCTCTGGCAGCCAATCTCCAACCTTTGTCACATCGTCGTGATGTTGCTTCTCTTTCTCTTTTCTACAAATACTATAATGGGCACTGCTCTAAAAAGCTAGCGTCTCTTGTGCCATCTACTAAAATTCATTCTCGTGTCACTCGTCATTCAATTAAGTCTCATCCTTTTTCTATGACTGTTCCTAAGTGCTTCAAAAACTCTTATTCTTCTAGTTTTTTTCCTCGAACATCAGTTCTTTGGAATTCGCTTCCTTCATCTTGCTTCCCTGATACATATAATTTGCAATCATTTAAGTCATCAGTCAATCGTTATCTTGCTCTACAGATTTAGTCTTTTCTCTTCCAGTAACTTCCAACTCTTATAGTGGTTGCTTGCAGCCTTGTTGGAAGTGAAGATGTTAAAAAAAAAAAAAAAAAAAAATCAGTGCGATGTCTTGATCAGTCTTGAGAGCTGTCTTAAACAGGCGAAACTGCTGTACATCTTCTGCTGTAAGTTCATAAAAATTGTATGCTGAACCTAGTGTTTGCAGGTAGCCCTCTAGTCTACATTTTCAGATAAATACACTGTGAATCTGTAACAAAACATATAAACATATTTTATACAACATGTTTATAAAACATATAAACATATATCTGTAACAAAACATACAACATTGTAGAGAGATTTTATTAAAGGAAGGATGGAAATTAAGGTAAGGAGAGAAAGGGAAGACTTAATGGAGTAATGAAAGAGAAAATGAAAAGAGATGCTCAAAATAGATAAGTGTAGAAAACACGTAGAGTCCATATTTTACATCACATTAAAGGGTCACAGTTAGAATTAGAACTAAAATCAACATAACATTAAAACTACCTTTTTTCCTTTGCAACTGATTCATTTGTTTTAACAATCTTCCGCTTTCTAGAACCGCTAGTACGTTTTCCAACAAATTCTAAATCATTTACATCTTCGTAATTAACTTGCATCATAACAGGTCTAACTATTAATAACTAATTTACAACAATTAAAAAATTAAAAGAATGCAAAATGGAGCTAGTAACCATTATCTTTTTTTTTTTTAATTTCCATTTTCTGAAGTTGTAAACATCAGGTGGTTTGTTTTGATAAAGTTGATTGGTTGTTGGATTTTTGTTGGGACCTTTTCATTTTATTTTTTTACAGCAGTGTTGGGTTATATAAAGTAAATTAACTTTGACTTTAGATCGTAAAAACAATCAACTTTTTTGCAATGTTTTTACATAAGTTAGATCAATTTAGCTGTGAAGCTGTTATTATGCGTCGGTTTTAATCCTTTCAATGGTATCATTGCTAAATACATGACATTGAATCAACGTTGGATTTGCATCAGAAAAAAAACTGACGATGTTCGCAATTGTTTTACAAACGCTGACCCAAAGTATGTGTGCTAGATGATAACCAGTATCATTGAAAAGATTAATATCGACGCAATTAAAAACAGCTTGCACGATTACGTTTGATCAACGTATGTAGAAACATCGCAAAATTTATTGCTTTTACGCTCTAAACCTAAAGTTGGTCCAATGCGTATATTTCAACGTTGATTCTGTGTATTTGGATTAACGTTACACTCTTAAAAAAATCGGTTTTTCAAAAAACCAAATTTGGTTTTACGGCTTGTCCCAATAAACGAACCAAATTTGAATATCTAGAAAACCAATTTATTTCGGTTTTTCAGAAAACCAAAGTTATTTGGATTTCTAGAAAACCAATTTGAATATCCAGAAAATCAAACTAAGTTGGTTTTCTAGAAAACCGACGCTTTTTGGTTTTCTGGATAATCAAAATTGGTTCGTTTATTGGGACAAGCCGTAAAACCAAAAACTGGTTTTCCAGCAATAACGATTTAAGTAAAGTGATGTCATAATTTTTAAAACGAAACATTTATGATTATTTAACTAAACTTAGCTCCATGAGTTTTGTTTCATAGAATAGAAATAATCGGCCAGAAATTACAATTTATTACAAAAAATGAAGTTTATTAATTTTTTACCATATTTATATACGCTTTCATATCTATATATATATATATATATATATATATATATATATATATATATATATATATATATATATATATATATATATATATATATATATATATATATATATATATATATATATATATATATATATATATATATATATATATATATATATATATATATATATATATATATATATATATATATATATATATATATATATATATATATATATATATATATATATATATATATATCTATATATATATATATATATATATATATATATATATATATATATATATATAAATATATATATATATATATATATATATATATATATATATATATATATAAATATAAATATAAATATATATATATATATATATATATATATATATATATATATATATATATATATATATATATATATATATATATATATATATATATATATATATATATATATATATAACAACTAAAAAGTGGAGAGTTCAAAAAAAATAAACTTGATTTAAATAAAGATTTTGAAACAAATTAATAACATTAATATGTTATTAAGTTTTATAATTTAATATTATAAGTTCAAAAAACTAGCAATGTTTTGAATGTTGGCAGGAAGTTTACTCCTTCGTTCAAAAACGTAATGTTCTAGAAAAGACAGGGTTTTTTGTAATTTCTTTGGATACGCAATATCAAAAATACAATATGAGCAGATGACGAGACCCAAACCACAAATTACATCAGGAACAGAATTGCTTAGTGTCAGCCCGTCAACTACAAGACTTATTCGTGTTGGATTTATAGCATCTCCTTCAATTTTCAGAGCAGGGGTTGGATAGATTGGATCCTAATAAAAAAAAGCATATAATTAATAAATATTAAATATTGCATAAGTTAACTTTATTAGTATATTTAAATAAATAAATATATAAATAATATATATGCAAATAATTAAAATAAAAATATATAAATGTTAAAAATATTAAAATAAATATTGCATTAAAATAAGCATTGAGTTTTTAAGTAATAAAAATTGAACTGAATAATTTTTTCCATCAATTTTTATTCAAATAAAGGAATATTAAAATGACTTAAATGATATAATGATATACAATCATTTAAACGAATCGATGGTATAATGATATACAATCATTTAAACGATCAATAAAATTTACTAGCGTCATGGTGAACAAAAGTGCTTCTTCGTCACAAAAAATGCTTGGAAGAATTAAACAATGAAGGTTTTTTATTGTTGCTAAAAATAGAAAAATGAAATAAAAATTACAAAATTAGAGTAGTAATTAAATAATTTTCATGTTAAATTAACAATTATTACCATCACTAATCTCATCAAGTACACCATTGCATAATGTTTGCAATCTAGCTGACAAAGGTTTTTTTAAAACTATTAACTTCTTCATTCCTTCCTTCATTCTACCCAATAATAACAAGCAGTTATTGTCAATATCTGTATTTGTTCTAACTCTTGCTGCTGCAAAAAGCTAAAAATAAAATATTACAAGGACTTTTCTAAAAAATTTGGGAAGTGGTACCCTGGAGCAGCATATGTTATTTAGCTAACCAAAAATAATATTTGAAGACTTTTAAAAAAACAACACAGACAATAAAAAAGTTTAATAAACACAGAAAAATTAATTTTGAACTTCCCAGGCCAAGGCAGTAAATATATCTTTAAAGATGCAACTAATTGTCTTACAGGATTCGTAGCCAAATATTTATATAAAATTCTATGAATTTTTCTTAACTTTCTTAAAAAATCAGACACATTTCCTTGACTATTTTCAACAATAGTTTTTGTAAAATGTTTGAAACTACTATCTAATATAATGTAATGGAAATGCTAAAATTGTACATGCTTTAAATGACAAAACTTATAAAACTTAGCTATTAGTTAAGCTGGATATTAGTATGGATCTTATTATTAAGGATGAAAAACAAAATTTACTAAAACACTAAGAAAAACAAAATTTCAAAAAAATTAAAAAGGTAGCATCAACAAAAACATAATAGCTGAATTGTAAAACGGGTAACTTAATCTGAATTCTCTGACTTTTCAAACTATCTAAAGAAGAAAAAAAAAAACCCTGACTTTTCCAGGTTTTCCTTGACTTTAGCCAAAATTAACAAATTTTCCAGGTTTTCCATGTACAGTACAAACCCTACTTTATTTAGTTTTATAATTTTAATTTTGTTATGTATTTTTATATATAGTTTATGTTGATTGAAAGTAAATTTCCTTATAAAAGTAATAAAACAACTGAAAATTTTTTATTTAAGTTATTGCATTAAGCCGCTATCAAGTTCATTAAATGGGCGACTTATTGCTCATATTCAGGAATGCTGCAGTTTTAAGACAACATTAAAAGAGCAATATAGATACAAAAAAATACTACATAAACCACTTACAACTTTTTCATAGTAAAGTGCTGGGAATTTATTAAGGACATCCAAAGTTCTTTCATTTCGGCATGTATATTTTAATGCCTCAATAGACAAGATAATCTGGTGAGCCAAAAATTCTATATCTGGGCGCAGTTTCTGACACTCATTCTTTATACTTTTTATAATATCTTGAGTTATACCATCATCCACATTCTATTATATAATAATTAAAATATGTAACTAATTTTTTTTTATGCTATCAAATCAAATACACTATGCATTTTCTCACATAAATATGTATTATAAATGCTGTAAAATCGTGCTTACCTTATCACTTGAATGATGGCAGTGACGTTTTGCTGAGCAAAGTTTAACAGACTCATTCAGCAAGACAGAATTTCGCTTACGACCAGAATTAATTCTAGAGTACTTTATTTTAAACTGTGCAAATTGCTCATCATTTAGAAGAGGATGCCTAACTCGCTTAAATTTTGCCTTTAACAAATGCACAAGAAGTTCCTGACAATAGAATAAAAGAAAAAGCTTCTTTAGCTATATAACTTTGTAACACCATTGATATTATTAGTTTTAATTATACAGTTAAATACTCACAGAGCCATTGCAGTGACAAGGTTGTAGAAAAGGATACCTTAGGAAAAGCTCATTTGCTATTTCATAGAAGTTACTTGTACTTGGAAATCTATAAAGCATTTATTTTAGTGAAAAGCAATAACATATTTTATCATTATTGACAGCTATGTTAAGAAATATAAAATACCAACTTTGATACTGATAATTATTTTACCAACTTTGATACTGATAATAAATGTTTACTTTAAAAATTAAAAAATTATACCATTTTAAATTATAATTTACACAGTAATCAAAATACTTACAACCCGTACTGTTGCTTCATGACATCAAAAAAAAAAATCCTTAACATACTCCTTTAGTTTTGACCTTTTTGGAATACTAAAGTCTATTTCTTTTATTTCCACAGCAGCAAGGAGAATAGGGGGCAATGTTAGTTTATCTGACTGAATACTAAAAAATAAATTCAAGACATGAATTATGAAACAACTTTTTATATTATACAGTCCTAATAGTGTAAAATGCGTGCTCACATTCTTAGCTAAATATATTGTATCAATTTAATTTTTTTTTTTGTTTAATAATATAACATTTTAAATAAGATAAAATTTAAAAAAAAAATAAACAAAGTTATAAATGTTTACAAACGAACAAAACATAACTTACAAAGATTCAGAAATAGTTGGTGCCTCGTTATTGTCACAAACAGGTGATAATGTAAAAGGTGATAAGGAAATTATTGCTTAGCAAAACATAGTATTGTCATAATATAGGATATTCATATCATTATATTAATAGTTATATTATACATTTACATATATATATATATATATATATATATATATATATATATATATATATATATATATATATATATACATATACATACATAATATATATATATATATATATATATATATATATATATATATATATATATATATATATATATATATATATATATATAGTTATACTATTAAAATTACTATCAACTAATAGTTAAAGTTACTATAACTATTACTAATAGTTATAGTATAAAAATTGTAATCATAATGATATATCATATGATAAAAAAAGTTATACTATATATATTAGTTATAGTTACAGTAATGGTATTATTATTATTAAATATGCATAATTAGTAGTAATAATATTGCTACTACTTTTTTTAAATTATAGCTTAGCGATAATTTACTATATATTGTTATAAGCAATATATACGACATATTGCTATTAGCAATATATCGTATATATTGCTTATAACAATATATTTGGTATATAAAATTATTGCTTATTGCTAAGCCTTGGAATTACTAAGGCTTAGCAATAAGCAATAACTTTATATAGCAAATTCATATATTCAAAGTTATTGCTTAGCATTACTAATAGTAATGCTAAGCAATAACTTTGGAAATAAAAACATTAGAGATATATTTTAAATAGATATAACAAATACTAACAGGTAAAAAGGTATTTGATGCCATTAGTTTACTAAAATAGTTGAACGACTTCTTAGATAGTAAAATTTACAATTTTATAAGTAACGAATAAATGACAGTTATTAAATACCGCGCTTGTTTAAAACTAATATGGAGGCTGCAAGTAAACAACCAATCAAATTTAAAGATAATAGATGAACCAAAATAAATTAAAACCCACGCATTTATTTTCTAAAAAACCAATAGTTTTTCAAATATGAATTGTTGGAAAACCAATTTATTTTTGTTTCTCTTGCAAAAAACCAAATCATTTTTTGGATACGCCATGAAACCTTTGGGTTTTCTGTGAAACCGATCGATTTTCTAGATAATCAATGAAAAACCAATTTTCGTAAGAGTGTAATCTAACGGATGTAGCTCAACGTTGACTCAATGTATATGAATCGATATTGATCCAATGCGTGCAACCCAACTTTGCAAGTGCAAAATTGTAACCTTGAAATATTAAAATACAACTAAAACAAAGACGAATGTCTATGGATGAATAGATAAAAATATTAACTATCCTTTGAATTGACATCTAATCACAAAAATATACGTGTCATTTTAACACAATATGTTTAACTTACCTTACATCAATTACGATACTTTACGATATATATATATATATATATATATATATATATATATATATATATATATATATATATATATATATATATATATATATATATATATATATATATATATATATATATATATATATATATATATATATATATATATATATAAATTGGCTGAAGTGGTGGGAAATAGTTCGCATGACTTCATATTGAATGCCATGTTTTTTTATATTAATGGCGTAAGAGTTAAATTTAGTCAATTTCCAAGGCCAGATTAAGAGCAATTGGTCTTACTTATAAATGCAATTCTATGAGCTTAGAAAAACTATTTTCTGGACTCTTTCTTATTTTCTAAAGAATGTCTCTTATCGGCCGTAATTTCGATAGTGTCATTAATTTAATTGCCTTACAATACAAATATTTAATTGCCTTACAATACAAATTTGTATTTGAGAGCACGTGCTCTCATATACAAATATTTTTTTTATTTAAAAAGTTAATAAACTATTCCCAACGGGCATTTGTTGGTTTAAAATTGGTTTAGATTACGTTTAGATAGCATTTACGTCGATCTAGACGTTTAAGAATATATTGTAAACGAGTTCTGAATATATTTAATTTGCGTTGAAAAGCTAAATCAAACAATTTCCGTACGGAATTAAATTTAACTTAATTAAATTAGTTTCGCACATAATGTGTCGGACATTTTGAATCTTTCATTATGATTAAAAATTAGAATTTCTTATGAATCTTAAATTATATAATAAATGGTTTAGAAAAGATAAAAGAAATTTGTTTTTAGTATTATATTGTGGCTAATGAAGCAGCTAAAATTTCTTGTAAGTTCTTTGATAATATTATATAAGCAATTAAAAGTAATTTTAAGTACAGTAACAATGTATTTTGATAATTCTTTTTTTTTAGTTATTGTTACCAAAATAGCAGTTTCAAAAAAGTAGCAGTAGTTTCAAAAAAGTATGATTTTCAGCATTTTTTTAAACTATTTCTTAAATTGTTTTTTCTGTTTGGTTTTTAGCAACGCTATAGAACGTCTATAGTTAGGGTTACCATATCTCCGGATTTGCCCGGAGATCTCCGGATTTTAAAGCAAAAAGTAAGGCTCCGGGGGATTTCAAACAAAAACATGAAATCTCCTCTTTTTGGAGGTTTTTATTTAATTTTTATAAAAATTCGATATTTAATACTTAAATTTTAATACTTAAATGTATAGAACTGAAAATGTAATAACTATTAAATGTAAAATGTTTTTAATCAATAACAATTTATTTAAAATGCTCAAACAGCACGTGCTCTCTTCCCTTGATTACACATTATTGAAAAATGCGCGCGCATCTATACTTGCGAAAACGAAAGTCGTAACCGATAAATTACGTTAAGGTTTTGGTTGCTGTTACAGAAGAGATAGTTCCTTTAATTTAAAGTTTTAAAGTAAAAGAATCGCTGCACTCTCAATAATTTTGTCTAAAAAAAATGTTTTCTAGTTTAAGAAAAAGAAGAATGAGTGTGAAGCCAAATTCAAAATTTGCCCAGCTGGATCATTTATTTATGTTTCTCCCAAAGATAAACAAATTACCTTATGTTAATTTTATTTATCTAGTTCATCTTACAATCATAATTAAACCAAGATTATGTAAGTTATGTCCCCTTTGACTTGTTATTAGTCTCAATAACAAGAGTTAAAAGCTTTAAGTTGGATGAAACTTGACAGTATCCCTATTTGGGATCAAGTTGAAGACTTAATTGTAAACAAAAAAGTTCCTTTTTAATGTTAATAAATCATTGAGCCATGACCAATTTTCAAACTTCCAAGTTTAATAAGTTTTTATTATTAAACAAAGACTTATTGAAAAAGATAAGTTCAACAAAAAAGTATAGTTGGTATGATTCATCTTCCCTCGTCCATAGTTTTTGCTCTGTTCCAACAAATGATTGGTCAATAACTGTGAAATTGATAACTGATTTAAGTGGTTAGTTAGATACAAGTGAACAATGGTTACAAGATGACAATAGAGACAAGTTAAATAATTGAGGAATAATTATTGGCTTGCATTTATATAGCATAGTATATTTTAATATAGAATAACTAATAAGACTCAATTCATCAAGAATCAATAATTGTAAGACAGCAATAAAATTAAATGTGAACATTTTGCAATTAAAATTAGGTTAAATTTAATTGCAAAACCAGCAATTTGTGTTAAGAAAACAAATAACATCTATAAAAAGGAATTATTAGGGGTCCACTCTGATAATGCCTCGCTAAATAATAAGAGTTCTCATTCATTCAGGGTTGGACTTGTCCACCGGGATGCCGGGGGAAGATCCGGTAGGCCGCTGATATCTTACTTACAATGGACCACTAATATAAATCGCAGTTGCTGCTACTTAGGTACAATAAAAATATGTTAATATATATTACTTTTTAAAAATATGTTAATATATATTACTAGTTAATATTTTGATTTTTAAATTATGTACTTTTAATATGGTAATAAATAAACTTATAAATTAAAATTACCTATTGTTAATTGAGGTACCTAAGAGTTAAATAACACATTATTTATATATTATGTGATTTTTTTAAAGATTTTATAGAGGACCGCTAGAAATATCATCCCCCGGGCCGCCTCATAGAGCTGGTCCAACCCTGCATTTATTTAACACGTATTGTAAAATCAGGGGCGGGTTATGTCACTCGCGAAGAAGGGGGATAAAAAGGTCAACAAAAAAAAGTCTGCATATTTTCATTTTTAAGTTATTTTAAATTTTTTGTACTTTAGTGTAATAATCAAGTTCATATACGCATAATTACGTATAATAGTCAATTTAATTTGTCAGTATAGTAATCCAATTCTGTATAATAGTCAATTTACAAAAGAATTTTTTGAAAAAAGCCCTAAAAGGGGGGAGGCTACTACCCATACCCCCCTCCTAAAACCCGTCTCTGTGTAAAATCTCCTCTTTTTCAGTGATTACCATATGGTAACCCTATCTATAGTTAACTCACTCTTAGGTTAAGAGTTAACTATAGACGTTCTATAGCGTTGTTAAAAACCAAACAGAAAAATAATAAATAAATAATATACAAACAAATAAATATACAAATAATATACAAATAAATAAACAATAAACAAACAATAATAATTTTATTTAGTTATTTAAAGAATAGTTACCTCTTAAAATGCCTAATTTTTCTCTAAAACTTTTAGAGAAAATTTATGCATTATTTTAAGTGGTAACTACTTTTCATAATTTGCTACTTTTAGTAAAAGTAGAAAAATTAGGAAGCTAAGACTTAGCTTCCAAATTTTTCTACTTTGATATTTATCATAATCAAATTGCTCAGGCTTATGAAAAGCTGTTTATAAAAATTCAACGCTTAAAAAATAATGTAAAATTTAAGGTAATACACCTTTTTACAATGTCAGTTCCGTACCTTATTTTACACATTTTTCAAGCGATCGCGAGTAACATAAATATCAAATATGGCAGAAAGTTCTAATTCTGACGAACTTGTAATCGGAGTTCTTTCGTTACAAGATTTTAAACTTTGGAATACGGTTGCTCTAACAGCATTTTTGTCTCTACGAAAGAAATCAATTAATGGATCGTTTGACACATTGGCTGCACGGTGAGTTATTAAGCTATCTTTTCAAATATAAGTCTTGTTATTTTAAAATTTTATACAATGTATAAGATTTTATAATGATGTATTATACATTTATAATTTATATAAAAATTTTAAAATATCTAATATATATCTAATATATATATATATATCTAATATATATATATATATCTAATATATATATATATATATCTAATATATATATATATCTAATATATATATATATCTAATATATATATATATATATATATATATATATATATATATATATATATATATATATATATATATATATATATATATATATATCTGTGTGTGTGTGTGTGCATAGTTTAATGTACTCATGCCATGATTTATACAAACTATGCATAATTTTGCATTATGTGATATGAAATGATATTTTTAGTAATGAAGTTTTATAACTTTTATCTTTATAAACTCTAATTTTACTTTTAGTGCATTTGCTGCATATGAAGAAGGAGCTGAAGTTGACCCTGAAAAGGAGCACATAGAAAAAAGTATTTTGCACGAGTATAAGCAAAAACTTCAAATTGAGAACGAGGTTTTGCCAGATCCCATTGATTTAAAAACTGGTTGGTTTAATGAAAAAGATGGAGTTGAGCTCTGGCCTCATTTATATTTTAGTGATATTTCAAGGTTTTATGCAAAAAGTTCTTGGGAAAAAATCTGATTTGATTACACGCATTATAATCAAATCAGATTTTTTATCATATTTTACCAATTCATTCATAAGTGAAGTTTTTTTGTACAACATTAATGAAAATTCAACATTTTGTATTCTTAAGTTTATTTGTATATACAAAATGTACGCCATCCCAATGAGTTTTAATGAAGCAATACACTATTTGGATTATTGTGCGAAAAGACAAGGAAGATGTTGTCGGTGGTGAAATATTAAGCGCTTACTGCACATGTCCCGCTGGTCTTCTTGGTAGTTGTAATCATGTAGCAGGATTATTATTTCGGATTGAAGCTGCTATTCTCATAGGGGTCTCTCATATAACTTGCACTAGTGCTTTATCTAACTGGAATATACCTACACTCAAAAAACAAATTGAACCAGCAGAAGTATACAAGTTCTTATTTTTAAAAGATAATTATTTGAACAAAGCTATTTAAAAGAGCTCGGAACTCCAAAAAGAAAAATTAAATCTAAAAAAAAATTTTAATGTAATGTCTGACAGCCAAGTAAAAGCTCTTTTAGATAGTAAATTTGTTTGAGAGGACTTTTATAAGAGTATTAAAGATCTTATTCTAAAAAGTTGTTTTTGTGAAAATATGTGTGCAAAGAAAAAAATAAAGATAAATTTGTTTGTACCTACAATTTTAAAAATCGGGAAGAGTTTTATAGAAAATTGTGATCCAGAACTTGAAATTAGTAATTTGTCTGATTTTTTTGCAGACTCACTTTTTTATTCAGATGAGCAAATACAACACCTTTATAAAGAAACTGTTGAACAGTCAAATAGTGTTATGTGGCATAATCATCGTGTTGGACGAGTTACAGCATCGCGATTCAAATCAATTGTTGATACTGTTGACAAACATGGTTTTGATTTAGAACACCATTTTGTTAATATCGCATTCATAATGGGTTATCAAACAGTAAATACAACATGGCAAATGAAGCATGGTTTAAATTGTGAAGTCCATGCTAAGGCAAAGTTTACTTCATTGTTCAAGAAAAACCATTCAAATTGTACATTTTATGACACTGGAATGTTAATTCTTAAACAATATCCTTTTATTTCTTGCAGTCCTGGTCTTGAAGTTAGTTGCACTTGTCATGGAAATGGATTGTTAGAAATTAAAAGCCCTGCATCATTGATTGGTCAAATTCCATCAACTGATAACTATAAACATATCAAAATGAACAAAAATCAAGAAATAGTGTTGAGAAAAAAAAGCGAATATTATTATCAATTTCAAGGCCAAATGGCAATAACAAACAAAATATACTGTTACTTTTTTGTATTTACATTTGAAGGGAGTATCACTATTAAAGTTAATTTTGATGAACTTTTTTGGGGCAATATATGCAAAAAGTTATGCTTGTTTTGGAGAAAACTAGTTGCTCCAGAAATTTTAAGTGGATATTTGAAGAAAAAATATGAATTAATCCGCAGTGAAAAAAACTGAATTAAAATTTCAAAACCAGATTTTTTAAATAAATAAATATTATTTTTTTAGTCATTTGAATAATGACTTATTATTCATATGTAAAACTTTGTACGTAAATCTTCATTTTTATCTTATTCAATAAAATAATTTATAAATTTGTGAAGTTTTAACCTTTTCTTTTCTTATAACTTTTTGAAAGATTAAGTTAAAATGTTAAACTTTTTCAACAAATGTATGCGATTGTAATTATGCAATCATTTATTCCTTCTTTTATGTTAGACTTCAACGATATTTAGTGTAAAACCCGTAATATTGTGAAAAAAAATTTATTTAAATATCAATCTGGGTCTCAGCAGAATCGTTTTTATTTGAAAATTTTTGAGAAAAAAAAAATTAAAGTATTAAAAATGGTTTCTTACAAACTAATATTATTTTTAAAACCCTTATCAAAAAATGCTTTAATGGAAACCGAGGTTGACATACTTATGCATAAGTTTTTTTGTTTTTTTTTGACAAATAAGAAGTTTTAGCTTAAATGAGAGGGATGGTATTTGAGTTCAAACAAACCCCGGCAGAGTATAACCCACATCAAATGCCTAGTAGGCACAACACATTTTGAAGGAGATGAAAAAACGTATTAATACGATTCTTAGACATCATATTAAACACATAGTGCTTACTGGGTGACTAATCGTGCAGTAAAATAAACATATATATTAAAGAACACATTTTTTGAGTGAAGTTTATATTGAAAGCTAAAAGTTATTTCTATTATCTGAAAATTTCTACATTTCATTATGAGGAATGGTAGTATGGCATTAAGCTGTCTAAATTTAGCATATTAATGGATAAAGCATTGTTACGCTTAATAGTTGTTCATAACTTTTTTTTTTAATTAGATTTGATGCATTTTTAAAATATTTATACCAGTGGTTTCCAACCGGTGGTCCATGGACCCCAGAGGGTCCATAAGAACTTTTTATGCGGACCACAAGGTAAACGTAAATTATAAATATTATATGTTCTCTATCAAAAACTAAATCAAACTTTCAGATATTATTTGCTGGTAAGCAGTGCCAGAATTCACATTGACCTGTTTTTGTATCATATATTAACTAAGATTAAGTATTTTTGTGTCACTGGTGGCCTAGTCTATTCAAAAATACCTTAAATAAAATATTATCTTGTTGAAAAAAAATTTCATTTTTAAAATGTTCAACATTGTAATAATTTTCGAAAGCAAAGGGGTCCATGAAGATTTTAAGATATATAATTTGGGGAACGGTTTAGAAAAGGTTGGGAACCACTGATTTATACCCAATAAACTTAAAAATAAAGTATGTGGAATAGGATGGGTAAAAGCTAAAATTTTTTCACTTAATATTTAGAATATAAAGTCAAAAAATTTTTCAACCTTTCTTAAATATCAACTGAACTAATCCAATCCAATTAGAATCTATATTTAACAAAAAATTACTCTTTCAATAATTTCAAGAAAACCTTTTTTTAAATATTCAGCAAGCATTACAATTACAATAACCTTTAAAAAAATCTTGTAAATTTCGATTTGTCAAAATTTAGGTTAGGAATCCTTTCAAGAAAGGGCAGAAGTTTAAGAAAGACAAAGAAATAAATTTGAAAATTGTTAAAAGAATTTATTGCTTTTATTTCATTTAATTTATTACTGGAAAATAAAGTTACATAAACTTAAAAATAAATTTAATCTGTCATGATAGATTCTTTAAAATTGCACAATGCAGAGCAAACTACCAGAATATCATCAATACATGGTATTAAACTTATTGGCACTTCCTGTGATTTAATTCGAAAGGCTTTTAATCTTCTTATAACCTGTTCAACTAATATTCTAACTTTAGCAATAGCACTAGTTTTGCTTACATCACTTGCTATCATCTGTGAGGTGCCTCTATGACCAGGTGGAGTAATAAAATAAATTTTTCTTGCAACACATTCTTCAATAAGGTTAAAACCTTTATCAGCCATCAATGTATAACTTGAAACCAGATCAAGAAACTTAGAGTCAAGAGTTATCTTTTTGTCACCAATTCGATCTGTAAATGCTTTTGACACAAATATAATACTTGAATTTGGTGCAACGCCAATAAGAAACTTTAAGGTGTTATGATGCAACTTTAAGGTGTTATGATGAACTTTTCATTGCAATTAATAAAACAAAAGTCTTTTAAAGTTTTAAAGTCTTTTATTTTGTAATTATTAAAATGATGCTTATATTCAGACCAAGTTGCACTCTGAAGTTTTAAGTCTTTTGGTGTCTCTATGAATATTTCTGAACAATCAATAATAGCAAATAAGTTTTTAAACTGATGAAATCTTTCAGGTGTTGTTGCAATTATTGTTCCAAGGTCTGGTGTATAAACAAAACATTTTAAATACTCTGCTAAGGCCCTTAACCAAGATTTGAAAATACTGCTGCATAATCCTTCTGAAATACCAAAGCGGTCTGATAAGTCTTTTGTTAGTAACCCCAGTCGGAGTTTCATTAAACATAAAAGCATTTCATCTTGTGTAATTTTCTTGGCGGTCCCATTTTTTCTGGTGTTGATTGAAAATTACGCCTTTCATTGCTCTTATCCCTTTGACGATAATGTCTCTTTATTAGAGGTGAAATTTTTTCATGAAGTTTATGAAACATTCCTAAATTTTCAAGATTAGTATAAAACTTTATATTTTTTTCTGTTAATAGTTTTTTATAAAGTGGTTTTGCGCAAGTTAATTGTTCTTTAAGTTCAAGTAGATGTTTTGTTAAACTGTAAATAATAAATACCAATAATGAAAATAATAAATCTTTAATGCTCAAAAACTTTTTAATTTTTTCAAAATTGGATTTTGATTTTTCAAATGTAACAGAGTTTCGTACATTAATGACAAGTTCAAAACTTTTAGATGCACTTGAATCAGCAAAACATTTTACTTCCTTAGAGTTATTTGGTTCATTTTGATAGTTTATAATTCTTTTTTTACCTGTAGATAAAAGCATGTCAGATTTTTCAGTTGCATTATATCCAAGATTTAAAGTTGGGTTAGGAAATTCTATGCTTGGTTCTTTGTCAACAAAATGGTTGGAGCAAACATGACTGTCTTTTGATAGTTCCCAGTATTTTCCTTCTTTTGTTTTTCTGTTTATTAATTTTATCCAAGTGTTCCTTTTAATTGAGCATTTTAATGTGGTAGGGAATGTAAACAGCCTGCATAAAAAGTTTAAAAAATTACTACATATTTATATAAAAAAAACTTCAAGCAAAATAAAACTTATACAAGCTTTTTTTCACAACATATTTGACTTGTTATTATTACTCAAAAGTATACTTATTTCTAAACTTTTAAAAGTAACACATTAAACTTAAGTTGAGCTAGAAGAGTTGAGTTAGTCTCAACAACAAACCTGAAAGGTGGATTACAGGAACATAAATCAGATTTTCTAAGACACCCATGTTCTTCACAGAATAAATTCTTCCAATTTATAATATCTCTAATAGAGTTATGGCAATCTTTAACAACACATGTGTATACAATAGTTTAAAAGAAATGCTTGATTTGGGTTAAAACGTCCGTACTATATACTGTTTTGATTTTGGTCGAAAAACTTATACATTATAAGGACCGGAACTGACAAAACAAAAAGGTGTATTCCTGTTTTATTTGAAAGGTACGTTGATGATTGGTTCGAGTCTTTAAAGTTTAAATTAGTGAAAAGAGAGTTCAAATTATTCTGTTTTTATCTTATGCTCTATATCTAAAAGCTATTTAAATATTTATTGCATTATTTTTCAATTGTTTTATTATGTTATGAAAGACCTACCAAGCTTGAAATTTTACGGGTCGAAATATATAGTATGTGTATGTATATCATCCCTTGGAATTAGGAAAACTAAAGTCAGCAAAAAAAGCTAAAAATCTAGACGACTAAACTAATTTAAAACACTTTTAACAAGTTTAGTTACAAGCTAATGTTATGTGTTGATGTACCTTTAACCAAATTAGTGTTAACATTTTAGCAAAATGTCATATCGCCAGGCTGTTTGGAAGAACCAAAAGCTTGATATTTTATTGAGTTGTTATTTTAGTTTGTGATATTATAATTTTTATTCACAAAATGTTAAATAATTTACTTTTTAAATTTATTTGTCATTGCTTTGGATAAAATGTTTTATTATTCCTTTTACAGATTGTTATGAGGTTTGCAAAAGTTTTAAATATCAGAGACTGAAGAAGGCATTGATAATCAGCAGATAACAAAAAAGCACAAAAGTACTGATTATACAACTCTTTTAAACGTTTCATTTTAATTTGTTAATGTTCATATAGAAACTAATAATATATAAACTGAAAATAATAACATATAATTAATCCATAACTGCGCATTATTCTAATCTAAATTAATTTTTTTTTTTCAATTTCTTCGGAGTTAATATTACTAGTTTAATGTAATTACAGTAGAAATGGTTAATTATGGAAAAATTGCACTAAAAATTGAATAAATGGCTTGTTTAAGCTTTATTATAATATAGCATGCATGCATGATGCATTCAAATATAAAAAAAAGAGTTACAAATGTTTAGTTATACAAAAAGATTATGGATGTGGTACCGCAAGTATATTCAGTTGATTATGCAAGTAAGTTGTCCTACTTTACATCTTTGAAGACTAATAATAATTGTAATGAATATATCTCAAACAATATACACTCGGATTTACATTTTAATTAAACCACTACCACTTCCACAGGCATAATTACTAATTCTGTCATATATATATACAGCTCATTATATATATTATATATATTCCACCTTCTCTCAAACATTCAATTGCATTCTAAAATATCTTTATTCAAATCAAGTGTAACTACTATACCAAAAGACTGTAGAATGGACCAATCAAGTAAGATGTCTAAATTTATATCTTTTATATAGAACTCCTTTACTTTTAGATATACCTTTGAATTTTATGATATATATATATATATATATATATATATATATATATATATATATATATATATATATATATATATATATATATATATATATATATATATATATATGCTGTACAGATATTGTTATAAAGTAATAGAATACTGTATAATATTGTATTACTTTGTTTAGAAAGGGCACTGCAGGACAATTGTCCTGCAGTTATGCAACTTATCAACCCATAACTGCAATAACTACAGGTTTTTTTAATAAGGTTTTTATTATATAAATGTTATATATTTTACAGATCTGTAAAATATATAACATTTATATAATTTAAAACTTTTATATTTTTATAATTTATATAATTTAAAACTCTGCAGAGTTTTAAAGAAAGTTCTCTATCAATTGTTACTATAGTTACTCAATGTACACTGTACAATCTTCTATAATCTATAAAACTATGGATTTATAAAGTTGTTAAATGAATGATTTATATGAAAAAAATGAAGATGTTTATTGAGTTATTTTTATTATTTTTAGAAAAGAGGTTGTATGACTTCGGTATCCGCAATACGGTATCGTGCATTGGTTCCCATCTTAGAATGGCTCCCTTTCGTATAGGTGGAAATAGGAAAAGTTATGTCCTTTTTTCTACAAAGAGGCTTAATCGGTTCAAGCAAAGATGACGATGATCACTATGGAGCCGATCATGATGACGAATACGATAATGCATATAATAATAAATAAAATGATTTTACTTGTATTTTAGACTTATATAAATAAAAAATTATCTGTTTAATGTATGATTTATTTATGAGTATTTAGATAATGCGTTCAGCGTTTAACTTTTCTTTACGGTGCTTATTTAAAGCAGCTTAAATAAAAGAAAAATTTGATTCGTTTACCAGTATTTTTTTTTTATTTACGCTTCTTTAAATAAGCGCCGTAAAATAAAGTTGAACGTCGCGAAGTTTAAAACGAAAGATTTGGATGGAGTTTATATCGAGTTTAAAACGAACCATTTAGATATGGTTTAAATGGAACATTCGATTGACCTACGTTCTAAAAAAAAACTAAATTAAATTTTAACATTTAGAACGAACATTAACTTAACGTTGATTAAATGTTCGAATGCCCGCTGGGTTGCTGAAAGTCGTTGTTTAAAAGAAATATCGGCGTTGCCAATAGCAATGGTAGTGAAACATTTTTTAATTGAAATTCCATTCATTCAAAGACTTTACAAATAATCGGTCGCTCACTAAGAATTTTTATCAAAATTTATGAAAGTTATGAAATTGAAAATTTTTATCTTTTCTCGAAGAATAAGCGCAAAGATTAAATATTATTTCTTTATCCCGTAAATAATAAAAGTATTTCAAAAACTTTAAAAAAGGTTTTCTCTTTAGTAAAAACATAAGATTTAATATCAATAAACGTCTAATAATAAAAAATTTCAAGACCTTTTAATATAAAACTTTTGGAAAAACTTATTGTGTATTTTTCAACTTACATTAAGGTTCAAGGTCTTTCATCAATTTCTTAAAATTTTCTTTATAAAAAAAATTAAGATATTCAACCAACGATAAATCAAAGGTGCCAACTCCATTCTAGAGTAAAATAAATCAGGTTATTCAATCAATTAATCAGATTACTAAATTCCCAGTAAAGATAATATTTTACGATAATGTGTTTTTCATGGTATAATCAAATCAAATCAAATATATTCTGAATCAAGCTGTTTAACATTTCAAGGATATTTACCATAGTACGAGTACTATTATATAGATACATCAATATAGACAGATATTAGAAATATATTAATAGGAATAATATAACATTTAAATGTACAATGACTCGGAACCATTAGAATAACTTAAAGTAACTTTATTATTAAAAATATATTTTTAAATAAAACTTTCATGTGTCTCCTTCAATATTTATCAGATAAAGATTGATAAAATATTTAGGCATTCCGCAGCCAGGAACTAAAACGAGCCTTAAAGTAATGCAGTACGCAGACGACACAGCACTATTTGTACAAAACGAAAAATCAGTTAAAGAAATTTTCAATATACTTAAGGACTTAAGGAAACCTTGGGATCAAACATGAACAAAAACAAAACAAAAGCGTTTGCCTTAGGCGCTTTAACTACCTAGGATACAAGAATAACATAAAAATACTCAATCAAAAAACTTTCAATATAAACTGATCAAACCAAGCAGGTTTAAAAATACTTAGAATAGCATTTCACACAGACCTTGCCTATCCAGGTAAAATAAACTGACACACTGTCACAGAAAACTTCCAAAAAAAATCCAAAATTTTAAATACCGAAGCCTCTCCTTGAAATAGAAAGGAATCTTTGTCAACACTTTTGCACTGTCAAAGGTATAACATGTGGCAAACGTGTTCCCTATTTCAAAAAAAGACCTCAAAAAAATGTATGAAACAATCTCAACCTACCATTAGTAGAGCATATACGCTGAACTCATTAAAAGTGACATTCTGAAATTACCCGTTAATAAAAGGGGTCTGGGCATTATCGATGATCAAAAGCAGTGCTTTGCCATCAGAATGAAATATGTTTTCCAAATAAAAGAAGAAGTATAACCAAGGATACTTCTTGCAAAAATATTTTAGGGCATACTCTATAACCAATTTAGCTAAAACTAAATATCCTCAATGGCTATTCCTTATTGAAATCAGTAATCCAAAATCCCTAAATCCACTCCCTTTTTATTATAAAGATGTAATTGAAAAGATTAAAGGTTGTTTGAAAAGATTAAATGTTGAGATCTTCAACATTATCCAAAAAACAACAAAAATATTTACACATATATACATATATCTTTCAACAAAAAGGAAACAAGAGCATTAAATTAATTCAACTCAAATGGGAGGCAAAATTCCAAATATCAATCCTATGGAAATAGATATTGGAAAGAAACTTTGGCTCTTTTGCTCAGGGAACAAGCAAGAATACATATTCGCGCATTCTTACTAATTCCCTACCAACTTAAAAAAAATTAAATACTTGGAAAATTAAACGTGGATAATTACATGGAAACTCCAAGTGCAAAACTTGTAACCGAGTGGAAGATACTTTTAACCTCTTTATCTTTTGCAGAAAGGCTAGAGCTGTGTGGAAAGTAATAAGGAACATTTATGAAAAAAAACCCTTGAAACCATTTAACTCGGCAAACACCCTCTTCCTGATAAAGATAGAAGACTTACCAAAAAAACATTTTGTTGCAAAAATTATTACTACCCTAAGACATTAGCACTAATGAAATATGGAGATATAGAAACTCCAAACTAAAAGACAGTCACAATATCTTTGCCAAAAGAATTGCTAAAAATATACTTAAAGACTACTTACTGCTCAAATTGTAAACTCGTTTTATGAAACCTCTTAATTGTAACTTCCTATTATTATATGAGCTATTTCTTGACAATAAAACTTGTAAATATATTACGGAACACCCTCCTTTATCCCCTTAGCCCCCTATCTTTGTAAAATACCCAAATTGTAAATTGTCTTCATAAAATTAATGTAAAAAAAAAAACTTTTGAGTCAAATTGCACATTCTTACATCTTGATCAATATCTGTCCGCTTTCTCCATGCTATCTTTTTAACTTGATTTCTTCACTCTAATTCCTTCGTTCTTTTCTCGACTTCCCAGGCCTTGGTAATGTGGCTTCTGTATAGCAAATAGCTGGAGGAGGATAAACCACAATACCTACAATAGTTTTAGTTAAACATAATAGTTTTTAATTCTTTTGATCGTTATGTTGTCTTTTTTTACATGATTACTTCAACAGAGTCTTACGGAAGTTATTGTAAACTTTTTCGTATATCTATATTTTTTACGACAATTTTTTTGATTTATGTTCATAACTTAAAGTTATGAACATAAATCAAAACGTTGTGAACATAAATAAACGTTGTATTTTAAGTAATAACCTAAAATACAACGTTGAATCAACATAAAATAATACACTTCGTCAACGTCGCATTTGCAACCAAAATGATATAAAAATAACTTTGGTCATCGATTTTGTTCCGTTTTACAAATGTATAGCTGGGTTCTTTTTGATAATAAATTATATATATGTAATAATAAAATATATATATGTAATATAGGACGTCCAAGATATTACTTGTACAAAAATGAAATACAATATTTTGAAAGAGTTTTATACATAATGTAAAAAATAAATGATTGCACGTAAATAGGGTAAAAAATAATAGATATAATATATACAGTTTTAAAAAATGTTTTAAACAACAAATAGTTTGGAAACTTTGTTTTTTATATTATACATGGAACAAATATTACAACATATAAGCAATAAATATTATATTATATAGAAAAACTGGCTCAGACCCATAGTGTGCCATCATAGTTTTCCCAATCCTTTTTGAAGTTTTTTTTTAGTTATTACTCTTTATATATATATATATATATATATATATATATATATATATATATATATATATATATATATATATATATATATATATATATATATATATATATATATATATATATATATATATAAAGAGAAATAACTAAAAAAATAACATATTTGAAAATCAAATAAATGAAAATAAAAAAACAATGTCGTATTAAGATACGACATTTTGTTGAAAGTTTTCAGACTAAGCTATTTTATACTTTTAAAAGTATAAAATTTCCCGTAGT